TACAAAGGCCTATCACAAAACCCTCGTCGAATCAGTACCCTAATAATCATCAATTAGGGAGTAATGGGAATTACCAACAGAGTAATAATCCAGGACCAGTTCAACAACAAGGGAGAAAGGTGCCAAGGGAAGCAATCGGTTTATCGGGTGAGCTAGAGAGTATGATCATTGATAATCAGAATGCAAAAGGGAGTAATGGCTCTTTGGTTCGCGCGTCTTCAAGCAATGTGATGTTGTTTGGCAATCTTGGGAACTTGAAGCAGCCCGGAGGAACGACAATGGCTATGAATCAAACAACTGTTCCGAACAATGGATATGGAAATACCCGTGGAGGAGGATATGGTGTGAGGAAGACGGTGGAGGAGGAAAGAAAAGTAGAGGCTGCACCAATAGCAGTTTCGAATAACCAAGATCAGTCAGGATCTTTGTGTAGGGCGATTTCGACGCGAATGGATCCCGAAACGTTAAAGATAATGGGCAATGAAGATTACAAAAACGGGAACTTCGCAGAGGCGTTAGCGTTGTATGATGCTGCGATATCAATTGATCCGAAAAAGGCTGCATATCGTAGCAACAAGAGCGCAGCTTTATCGGCATTGGGGAGAATCCTTGAGGCGGTCTTTGATTGTAGAGAAGCAATCAGAATCGAGCCTCATTACCATAGAGCACACCACCGGTTAGGTAACTTGTACCTCAGGTAATCTCATCAAAACCCTACCTTGTAACTCAAGTAATCTCATCATTGTTTTGAAAGAAGAAAGAAACAAACTTGAAACCAATTATAGGTTAGGAGAGGTCGAGAAGTCAGTATATCATTTCAAGCATTCAGGTCCAGAAGCAGACCAAGAAGACATTTTGAAAGCTAAAACTGTACAAACACAACTCAACAAATGTACAGAGGCCAAAAGATTGCGAGATTGGAACAATCTGATCAAAGAAGCCGAAAACACGATAGCTTCAGGAGCCGATTCAGCTCCTCAGGTATACGCATTGCAAGCAGAGGCCTTTTTGAAGACTTACAGACATCAAGAAGCCGACGATGCTTTGTCTAGATGCCCGATGGTTTTCGATGTGGAAATGTGCACAAAGTATTACGGACCGATCGGGTACGCCGGTTTCTTGGTCGTTTGGGCTCAAGTTCACATGTCTTCCGGGAGGTTTGTTCTCTCTGACTCCTTAAAGACTTATAAATTTTCAGTTTTCTTGTTTTCACTTAGTATAGAGTTGCACAGATTCGGAGAGGCCTTGGAGGCGATTCAACGAGCGAACAAGCTGGACGGAAACAACAGGGAAGTGAGTATGGTGCTTCGACGTGCGCAAGCGGTTACAACGGCACGGTCAAAAGGAAACGATTTCTTCAAAGCCGGACGATTTCAAGAAGCTTGTGCGGCATACGGCGAAGGATTAGACCACGACTCGAGAAACTCAGTCTTGCTATGCAACCGAGCGACTTGTCTGTCGAAAATGGGCCAATTCGATAGAGCCATCGAGGATTCCACGGTGGCACTCACTGTCCGTCCTGGCTACACCAAGGCTCGACTCAGAAGAGCCGACTGTAACGCCAAGGTACTTAAAATGGATTCATTTTTCTGAAATAAAAGTTTTTGTTGGGGCTTTCTGGCAATTTATTAGTGTATATAATATGTGGCTAAATCGTGAATATAGCATAAATTGAGGGGCTTTATTGT